GCCCCCTACGGTGCCCTGCCACAGGTGTCCGGTAGCAGGCTGATGTTGAGGCACGATTAAGGGGCCTGTGTGGGTGCCCTGCTGGGCCGGCTGAGTTCACAGCAGACCAGGGCATGGTCCGAGAGGCCTGATGGGATGATGCAGCTGTTGTGCAGTAATGATAGATGGTGCTGGGCAATGTAAAGGTGGTTCAGGTGTGCCATGGTGATCCTGCTGGCGCTCATCTTTGCCCAGGTGTACTGTTGTGTGTTGGCATGGAGGACCCACCAGGTGTCAACGAGATCTGCCGCCTTCAGCATGGCCTGCAGCTTGCGGCTGAAGGCAGGTGTGGCTCCAACCCTGTCTGGTCTAGCTATGTGTCGATGGTGCAATTGAAGTCCCTGCCCATGAGCAGCAGGTCATTGCTCTTGCTGGTGTCATGCAGTAGGTCACCCAGGGTCTCTAAGAAGGCTATCCACTCCCTCCCCTTGGTGGGCACATAGACATTTACAAGGAGTAGGCTCTGGTGTGCCAGGGTGATGTGGACGGTCAGCAGCCAGCTGGGGACAACCTCTCGTGCCACCAATGAGTCATACTGCAACTGTGGCAAGAGGAGGGTCGCCACCCCAGCACTGAGGTTGATACCGTAGCTTAGAAACAAGCGGCCTTTCCAGGCAGTGTGTCAGTCGGCTTGATCATACACGTCACTGTGTGTCTCCTGGAGGAAGGCGATCGCCAACTGCTTCTGCCGCAAACCCTCCGGGATAGTGTCCGCTTCACTGGGTCCCTGCATCCATTGGTGTTCAGTGAGGCAATTGTAGTAGCAGCCATGAGCAGAATAGAGAGGAAGGAGGCAGGCGATAAAGCAGGGCAAAACCACCGAGACAGGGGAAGGCCTATCCTTGCCCTATTCTGTTTTGTGGACCCACGCCACACCTCTGGCCTGTTTTGTGGACCCGGCCCCACACCTCCCTCACCCAGGTCACCAACTTCTCAAGCCAGAAGGCATGTTGACACATGCCTGGGTTCCAGTGCATAAGCCTCGCCGCATTGCTAGTGGTGCGGGCAAACTGTGTGGGGTCTGGTCACCACTGCTGGATACTCTCTGCCACATTCCTCTGGCCCTTGGTCTGCTCTAAGAGGTTGCAGGGTCCTCTGTAGTTGGGGGCCACCCAGGGGGGTTAGTCCAGCAGGAGCTGGATGTTTCTGACTGAGAACCAGCAGGGTCTCACCCTGGGAGGGGACCTACCAGTGAGGCAGGTGCAAGTGCCCTCAATGGCCGGGCTCCCTAGCAGGCCCCCCTCAGCATCCGGGTTGAGGACCATCTCCAGGAGATCAATCCCCATCTGCTTTGGGGGACAGATGTCATCTTGCTCCTGGGGCTATTTGCAGCGCTCGGAGGGCGGGCACTCCATCTCATCGTTGGCCTTGGTGGGCAGGGGAGCGGGGTGGGGGGTGGCAGGGCC